TTCATACATTTTCTGTAAAACCAGAAAAAAAACAAAGGGTGGACTGCAAATCCTCCTGATTGGCTGCCATGCGCTTTTATCTGTTTCAGTTTCCTGACCTCTGAAACAGTACCAGATACTTCCTTCTGTCTTACTTCGACAAGTATGGAAAATCAATAGATGTATTTTATTTTTAAATCTTTCAAAATTAATAAAATTCTGAATTATTTCAGCACAAAGTATTTTAGGATGGGCTTCACTGTTTCAGACTGAACCATCATATTACACAGTAAAGCATCTGGGTGCCAGAAATGCCATGTATTTCTGAAGAGCAGTTCTGAGAGACGTTTTTTATATGTAACAGTTTATTTTGCTCCCTCATTCCCTTGTTCTGTAGTGAATAAGGAACTTCATTTTTGTTTGCCATATAGTTTTTCCTTAATGCGGTTGGGGTTTTTTTTTGCATCTATTTTACATGTTTAACTTGGAAGTTATTTTCTGTTCATTATTTTTGTGTATGCGTTTTCAGTTGTTGAACGAGCTGAGCGTTGTGGAGGCAGAGCTGCTGCTGAAGTCGTCCAGCCTGGCAGGAAGCTACACAACAGGACTGTGTGTCTGCATTGTCGCTGTTCTGCGGCGTTACCATGCCTGCCTCATCCTCAACTCAGAGCAAACTGCACAAGTCTTTGAAGGGTTTGTGGCAGCTACAATTTTCCAAAAAGTATTTTTGGTGTTCTCTCTTAAGCAAAAAATGCGTTTCGGTTCAGCTAGTGAGACCAACTATCACACTGCTATTGGAAGGCTGTAAGTGAGCTCAGGTGAGTGGAGCGGATGGTTCACCTCTGCAGCCTGCTCCCCACTGCTGGGGGCTGGTAGGACCTGCACACTTTGTAACCTAGGAAAAGGAGGGAGTTGTGTATCTTGATTTCTTACCCATTCGCCCCATTCTGCCCTGGGCTCCCCGAGTGCCTCTGTGTCCTGTCGTCCCTGGGGCCCAAGCAAGCACACAGGTGACACCAAACTTCACATGAGCTCTGTCAGCCTGTAGATGCCAGGTCTGTCATCATGTTGCCCAGCTAATGGTGGGGTTTATATGATATGTAACAACATGAGACGCGTTTCTAAGGTGCATTGGAACGAACTCAGAATGATTTTATTTTTGCAGGTTGTGTGGGGTGGTAAAGCACGTCGTTAATCCCTCAGAGTGTTCCTCCCCAGAAAGGTGTATTTTAGCTTACCTCTATGATCTGTATGTGTCCTGTAGTCACCTGAGAAGCAAGTTTGGAGACCTCTTCAGGTGGGTGGTAATGGGATTTTTCTCACCACTGCCTAGCCTGTAGACTGATGCAGGCTGCTGTGGTTTCAGTTTGGTTTGCTTTCTGTAGAAAATACGCTGTTGCCTTTGCTGCTTTACCTTTACTGATGCAATTCTCTTGCCCGTGCCAGTGCAGCAGCACAGCATGTGGTCCCGAGCCTGTGAAGTCCTCGTGCTGTGCCAGTACCTGCCATGGAGGAGCAGAGGCTGAGCCCTCCTTGCAGTGCTGTGATTAGCTTAGCGGGTTGCTTCAGCAAGCAGCGCTTGCATGCAGCGAGCAGGCGTGGGGTGAGGGAAGCAGGGACTGTCAGCGTCAGGTCAGCTGCTGAGGCAGCTGTGCCGCGCAGCATTGGACCCCTCCCCACACACCTTTGCTTTCGCAGACTGTGATGTGACTGATTTGGTTTCTATAATGCATTAGCAAATCAGCTGTGATACATACAATGTTGGATGGAAAACAACAAAATCTTAGCTGACACAGCTGTAATATTCTATTAAATATTTCCTTTGATGTGGGGAGAGGCACAAACATGTTTGAGTTCGTGAAGTTTTATGCTTGAATGTTCAGTTCCTTGATTTTTAAATTAAAAAAATACTTTAGGTACCCATATACTGTATTTTTGGCTCTTACTTTTTAAAGAGGGAGTAGAAACCTTTCATATGCAAATATGCATCTTGTGAGAGTTACAAACCACTTCAGTTACTGTCTCCCCTCCTAGTTCATATATCTGGTTTTGGTCTGCGTGTTTCAGATTTGTGGTTTTCATTTCACAGGGAGCAGGAAAAGAGTTCTCAGTAATAATCTTAATATTTTAACAGGTTTACAAATACATGCGAACAGTAGCATTTAATATGAGAAACACTAGGAAAAGGAAATATGAAATATAGAAGCACTACAGAAGTGTCTTAACTATGTGTTCATTTTTCTACTTAAAACCTAAAGTTCAGTAACACAAAAATAATAGTTTTATTAATACTAACCTACAATAGCAAAACAAAACATCATCTAGTAATACAGAGATAAAGTATTAAATCATATATTAAAGGAGTGATACACAGCACTTGATTTGAAGCCCCTTTTTTCAGACAAGTGGAGTTAGAAATTCTCTGAAAACTGGTAACAAAATTTATGTATACATTTTCTGAACGGTTGTTTATAAGGTAATAGTGCTACACTCGTTTTCTCCTTGTTTTCCTTGCTACAATTGAAACAAAACCAAAAGCAGTTGTCTGTACACAGCAACTTTTTTAGCTCCTTTTTAGCACGCTGTAAGTCCAGCTATTTCTTTAAGTCAATTTGAAGCGACAATAAAGTACAGTTCATAAATGTTCAAATTTAGAGACTTACCTTCCTTATATTGCAGTGCTTTGAAGTGGCTTCTAAGATCATCTGCGGTATTTCTCATGACTGGGTTTTACTAAGTGAGCTGCATGTTTTGGTTTAGTATGCTTGGTATATTTAGTTGTATTCGCTAAACTTCCTTTTTTAAATCATTCCTTCACTTTTTTTTTTTTTAAATCTTCTGACCACTCCCCCAGTGTCACTTCTTATGCAAGTACAGTTTCAGAGGCTACTTTGCTCACGTACTCAGTATTGTATTGTTTGGGTTTTGGACCTTTCTTTCTGTGACCTGTGGGGTAAGTGTAGGTAAATGCTGTGATGACAGTGTCGGGGACATACATGCGCCCAGGATGCTGGTACATGAGAGCCCATTTAAATAGTGCCTGATGTTTGAGATATGGGGTATTTGTTTTCCACTGGTTGGCTTGCTTTCTTTGCTGTTACACTGGCTGTTAGAGCAAATGGTTAACGTCAGGCATTACCCTTTTTGTAGATTAATAATCTTACTAATGGCCTCTTCCTTCTGCCCTGGAGCATCCCGATGAGCAGCAGCGGTGTGCAGGGGTTGCGCAGTGACAGGGTGTCCCCAGGGGTGCCCTCCAAGCCCTGCATCCAGGCGCTGCTGCACATATCGCCATCCTTCCTGAGGTCACAGATGCCTTCCAGGCGGCACAGTGCTTCCTCTGTCTTTTCATCCTGGGGCCAGTGGAGTTCTAAAAGATTCCAAAGGTTTCATGTATTTGAAATTAATTTCAATTAATAGTTTTTTTTCAGTAATGAGGAAGTCTTCCCAGTTGGGATAATTACTGAAGTTTGTCCATATGGATGTTGTTTCCAGCTGTGGTATAAAACCCAACGCTTGAGAGAAATGCTCCTTAGAACATTTTGTGTGTGAAATTTGCATTCTTCATTAACACCTTTTTTTTTTTCCCTGAAGAAAGCCAATTAACATGTAGGTATTCCAAGCATGGAACATTTCTTGACCTTTTGTCATAGCTATTAATGTCAAAATATGACCTTTAAGTATCTTTTCTCTGTTTACTGATTTCATCTTTCAAAAAGTTGTCTGTTATGTCTACGTTATTACTGAATGTAGAGTTTTTAATTTAGATACATTTTCTCATTTTTCCTTAACTGATTCTTCTTACCACCACTGCAGTTCACTGTGTCATAACACATAAAGAGGGGGAGCAGTGTTGTGAAGCACTGTTATAGTTCATGGGGAGGCATCTAATGCTCCAGGACGTTATTGCTAGTGAGGAATGAATGTGTGGTCCTTATCCAGCTGCTCACAATTTCAGTCATAGAAATGTCATAGAAGCGATTTGGAAACTCGAGACTTTATTTGCAGGAAAACTTGAATGAAATTGATGTATCAACCTTATTTTCTGGTAGATGCTCCTTATCAAAAATGAGTTTGAAAATGTGTACAGAATGGTAACTGAACTAGGATTTTCTAATCCCACACAGTATGTTCAACAGTATTTCTGCAAAGTACGTTTTTTGGCAACTCTCTTTTTTTTTTTTTTTTTTTTTGTCCTCAGTAGTGCCTGTTCTAAGGTGAAGCAAACGATATACAGCAATGTTCAGCCTTCAAATTCCAATTTACTGTGGGACCCAGAGTTCATGCTAGATTTTATCGAGAATCCTTCTGCTCACAGCATTAACTACTCAATGCTGGGCAAGATCCTGAGCGATAATGCAGCCAACCGCTACAGCTTTGTCTGCAATGCGCTAATGAATGTGTGCATGGGGCACCAAGATGCAGGAAGGTAAGGGAAATGGTGCTGGAATCTGAATTGGATGGATTTTTACATGGTATATATGAGGTTTCCTTTTGCCTTTGTTTTTTTGTGTTTCTTTTGCAATTGTTTTCATTCATTTCTCTTTCTGGTTGCTGAAAATTTATTAAGTTTCCTCTGAGTTATTTCATTAAATCAATCTGCATAATTTAACAGAAGCGAGTAACAAGTAGAAAGAACTCACTGTAAAACAGTCAGTAAGCTTTTTGTATCAGCAGTTGTGCCATTTCAGACAGAACAGCTCAGCACAATCTTTGCTCATTAGAAGCCTGTAAATGAGGGAAGGTTCTGCATTAGGTCATTTCCTTCTTCTGATGCAGTTGGTGTTTAATTTATTAAATGTGTAACTTACTAATTATGGCATTCATCTTCATAGGTAATATATAGTTTTTTCCAAAAATATTTTTTAAAAAGTATTAAGAGTTTTATTGGATAGAAGCTACTAGAGTTATAACAGCTGTCAGTTATATTTTAAGAGTAGCTTGGACCTCATGGTGCACAGTTCAAGTCGATCTCCAATGATTAGAGTTAAGGATGAGATCTGCACTTCAACAGGTTGTCCAGCACTGTCTTACTGTGGTTGTCTTCTGACACCAGCAGGTGCTGGCTCCTGTCACAGTCAGGTGGAGCTTTGGTCTGATCCCGCACGACACTTCTTGGGTCTTAAGTCTGTGTGAGATCTTTTTAGGTGATCTCAAGGTACTGACAAGACATATAGTGAAGACCCCTTGCAGTAAAACAGCTTAACATCAGTGTCAGGGTTTTACACTGACAGTATGTTTTCATTCGTAATTCAGATGTTCTCTTAGTTGCTTCTTCCTTCCAGTGTGTAAACATATAAACTCTACCTTCTTGTGCAGATGTAGCAGTACAGTGTTTTCTGTTCTGCAGAGTCTGTGATGCAGGGTGAAATGGACACTGATTTTTGGATCTAGCCTTTACCTCTGCCCCCAGCACCTTTATTCCTCTTACACAATCAAAACCACCAGAACTTGGTGTTCTGTTCTGATTCTGTTCCAATTTTTATTAAGAAATTCTTGGTCTTGATAGTTAGGCCTAGATGCAGCAGTAGCTGACAGTCTTTTTAAAGGTTGCTGAAAGATCACAAAACTCAAGGAAATCGTGGACTTTTTTTCCCTTTTCGCTTTTTTCCCTTTTCGCTTTTTTCCCTTTTCGCTTTTTTCCCTTTTCGCTTTTTTCCCTTTTCGCTTTTCCCTTTTCGCTTTTTTCCCTTTTCGCTTTTTTCCCTTTTCCTCTCCTGCCCAAAGTGTGTGCAGTTCCTGCATCGTTCTCCCTTTCCCCAGTATGAAGCCATCTCTGAAATGGCCAGAGCAGGTCCAGAGGAGGCCGCAAAAATGGTCAGAGGGCTGGAACACCTCTCCTGTGAAGAAAGGCTGAGACAGTTGGGGTTGTTCAGCCTGGAGAAGAGAAGGATTTGGGGGAGACCTTCTTGCCGCCTTTCAATACATAGAGGGGGCTTATAAAAAGGATGGAGAGAGACTTTTTACCAAGGCCTGTAGTGACAGGACAAGGGGCAACAGTTTTAAACTGAAAGAGGGTAGATTTAACTTGGACATAAGGAAGAAATGTTTTACGACGAGGGTGGTGAAACACTGGAACAGGTTGCCCAGGGGAGCTGTAGATGCCCCATCCCTGGAAGTGTTCAAGGTCAGGTTGGACGGGACTCTGAGCAACCTGATCTAGTGGAAGATGTCCCTGCCCATGGCAGGGGGGTTGGAACTAGATGATCTTTAAAAAGGTCCCTTCCAACCCAAACCATTCTGTGATTCTGTGAAATGTGGGGCATCCTTGGTAGAGCAGAGCAGCTAAGAGGAAGCAGTTTTGTAAGACCAATGAAGGGGAACATCTAAATCTGGCCAAACGAGTTTCACTGTGGAAGAGAGAAAAAATAACTTGCACTGGGATGAGTCAAGTCTGCTCTGTTTTTTAAAATGTTACATAACTCTGAATCATACACCGAATCATATGTTACACAGTATGCTGATCTATGAAGTACAATTCATTAATGCCAATTGAGTTTGTGACTCGCTTCTCTCTCCTAAACGGTAGTGCTGGCCTGGCACAGGGAGGGAGGGCTCCTGCAGTGAGATGTCACTGCTGACCTGGGGGCTGGGGAGATGCGCGCCACACGTACCACTTTTCCGTGAAAGAGGATGGAGCTGCTGTTTGTGTGGCAGCACTGAGGAAAGGCCAGAGTGTGCCCTCGTAGAGAGGGGCAGGTCATCTGTCATGGTGGGCTGCAGGCAGTGGGGTTTTGGGTGCTCCATCCCTCTTCCTGGGCAGCTCAGCACAGGAAAGCTGGTATGAACACAGGGCGTATAAAAGTAGGGTGTATACAAAATAAAGGCCCTATGCTACTGTAGGTTGGATGGATGCAAGTTATGGGGTACAAGTCACATACTGGGTTTTTTTTTTCAGATGCTCCAGTTGTCTGCAACTGAGTAACACTAGGTTGTATGTACAGTAGCATAAACCACATTTGGACCTAAACCCCCACCTTAAGTAAGGAAACACCAGTTCTTCTGCCAAGCGCTGATCTGCTTTGACCTAAATATTTATTGTTTACAAAACATCTTGCTTCTGTATTAGTTTTTCTCTTCTTTCCTAGGATTAATGACATAGCAAACCTTTGCGCAGAGCTGACGGCATGCTGCACGGTGCTTAGCTCAGAGTGGTTAGGGGTCGTAAAAGCTCTTTGCTGCTCTTCAAATCATGTCTGGGGTTTCAATGATCTGCTCTGCAGTGTGGATGTAAGTTCAATCTCTTCTGAAGTACATGTTAAACCTATTTACCTAGGGTGTGCTTAGAAGTATAGTAAGGTTTCCATTCAATACAAAATGCTGAGCACAAATTCAGTCCTGTATCCATTTGAGTTTTCAAGGCTTTTAATGAGATTCCTGATTGATTTTTATTCTTTCCTACATCTTCAGGGTTAATGTAGAATTTGGGCAGTGCTTAGAGTTTTCTCTTTGTAAATTTTTTTTTCTTCATTACAGAATGATATGGAATATCAGAGGTACTCTTTGAAAGGAGCAGGCATGTCCATATACTTTTTCTAAAATGCTGATGGATGTGCAAATAACTGTATTTTCAAGACCCTATTTTGGTGTTGGCTCTTAGATTGTAGAAGAGGTGGTACACTTTGCCGTTCCTTACTCACCTGGTGTAAGTTACTGTAGTCCTGTTAAAGTCAGCAGGATTATGGTGACTAATGTTATCCAATATCTGATTCCATATATTTATCTGTAGTTTAGGAACAGATTGAAGCTGTGTACATTGGGGACATATTCTTGTCCTGAAGCTAAGGAATGAGTATTGATGTTACAGTTTTTATAGAATGATACAATTTTCTCTGTTTTTTATAAGACTAATGTTTTTTATTGCAGAATTAATTTGTGGTATTTGAAATAGGTGTTTGTTAAAATTAAGTTAAGAGCTATCAGTATTTGCCATAAAATGTTTGGGAAATGCATTAAAATGTAGAGACAAATGCTTATGTGTAAACATTTTACTGTTTATTCTTCTAGTTAATTCCTTAATAATCATGGCAGTGGTGTGTGCACTGTTATGTGAAGCCTTGCAATGTTTTTCCTTCAAGGTGAGTGACCTGTCGTTCCACGATTCCCTGGCCACTTTCATTGCTATATTGATAGCCCGGCAGTGCTTTTCTCTGGAAGATGTAGTTCAGCATGTTGCACTGCCTTCTCTTCTTGCAGCTGGTAAGAAAATACCAAGAGAAAAACTTAAAATGAAAGACTTAAGACTTCTTAAGAAATCTCCATGGATTGAATAAGTAGTGTGTTCTGAACTGCGTTCTTGTATGGAATGCCACCTATTGTGTATTGCAGTGCGTGTGTCCCTGCAGTTCCTAAAAGGAGCGACACCAAGTTAGATCAGAGAACCCACACGTGACAAGTGCTATCAGAGTTGCTGACAGTGCACTGTCCCCTTCTGTTATGCAGCCTCACCTTCTGCTCACGACTCTTTTCTGCTCTACGCTATATGCTCAAAAGTCTGCCAGATCTACTCAGATTGTGCATTTCCTTCTGGCATCAGTCTGCCTGAGGTTGGCATTTTCTCTCTGACCTCATCGTCTTCACCTCCAGCCCTGGAGTACTGTAGCTATGGTCCTCTTTCTTGGCCACTTCACACATTTCTTTTCACTTTCTGCTTGGATTTGTGTTTCTTATTTCTGCTTTGACTGTCAAAAGCCATTTTAACCAAACGTTCTTTTCTGCCATTAATTAGGTCTCTTGCTTACCAAAATCATACTATTCTTTCCTGTTTTTTAATGACTCAAGGCCATAAATGCTGATTCCTGTTGATGAAATTATTGTATTCCCATTAAAAATGGGGCTGTGAGGTAGAACATTTCCAGGCCTTGGAAATGTTCTGGGACTTGTGAGGTCCTGGGCAGATGCCTTATGTCCACGTCCCATCTTCCATAGCCTGTGGAGATCCAGATGCCGAGCCTGGGGCAAGGATGACCTGTCGGCTACTCCTGCACCTCTTCAGGACACCCCAGGTCTGCCTCTTTCCCCAGGGAACTGGTAAGTTGCCTGCTGTGTGGTCCTTTCATTTCAGAAAGTGAACCCAGATGGGTTTTGATGGCTTCAGATTTCATGTGTGAAAATATCCATAGTGCAAGTAGAAATGATAGCCTGTTTAAAATCACAGACGTTTCACTAGTGAAAAGTTGATACATACTATTCTTACTTGTTTGGGAAATGTTTTATATGCATGTAAAACTATAGAAGTTAGCTGAAACCCAGGTATGCCATAACGTTGACATAAAACTCAGCCATATTAATATTACACCTTAAAAAAGAAAATTAAGTTTTAACACAGCACCTGTGTACACCTCAGCAAAGAGGAATACATTTAGAACAACCGTCCTGTCCTGATAGTTCTCATTTTGTTTTGGAATTTCATTGAAACAGTCATGTGAGCCTGGGACCTCTTAACACTGTTTTTGTGCCGGTGCTGCTGTCAGCAACGGTAGTACGTATCACAGTCCCCCCCTTCCTTTGTACTAAGTACTGTCGCGGCAGTGACAGCTCCTGTAGTGAGTCATCTCACAGTGATACCGAAACTAATAGGGATACACATCATGCAGTTTGGTAGCCTTGCATGTAAATTGAAATTAAATGTGATTTTAAATAGGGTATAATAAAGCATCTAGTCCAACAGAAGAAACATGAGGAAATTAGTTCTCAGAATATTTGTATTCAAAAATCTCAGAATTAATGTAGTTCTCTTTCCTTTTAAATTTGAATACTCTGTGGTCTGACCTGTGTATGTTTGCCACGGACCAAAAGAGGAAGGAAAAGGGCAAGGAACAAGCACCTAACAATTAAAAGGAAACAAGACTGGAAATAACCTGTGTTTTGACTTATAAGCATTTCAACAAATTTAATGACAAGACTATTTGTGTGGGGAAAATGAAATTGAAAGAAAAAATTTTTTTCAGCTGTTAAGTGGTGTAAAATTCTTCCATCTAAAAGTAATATTTGTTTCTTTTTTGACCAGAAATGAATGAGCTTTTGTTGCATATTCGAGCAAAATAAGTAAGAGCTGTGAAGAATACCGTCTGAGTAACAGAAATATATTACATGGTCCCAGGCTTCCCTAGAAATAACAATAGATTTGAATGGATAGGAAAAATCATGTCTGAACTCTAGGAAGTAGTACAAATGAAACAAAATGTGACCATATTACAGTCTTCTCTTACATATGGCTAAGTTAACCACCTCAGAAAGGTGGTAGATTCATCCTTCCCTTCTCCCTCCCTGTCTTTCAGTCTGTTTATCTTCTCCTTCAAGTTAGAAAAAGCACTCACTGACTTCTTTTGCAGTCTGCTTCTGAGCTGCAGAATTAGGCCTAACTGTGCAACAGGCATTTATATTAATTAATTTTGCCTCATTTGTTGTGAAGACTAGGTGAGGGAAGTAATTTCCTAAATCTGTGAAGTCAAAACCAAAATATACTTCAGTGTCTCATTGTGATTAAATTCACTGTTTACGTGGACACAGTGAAATGACAGGCTCCTTTTTCTATTTAAACGATCATAGCTTATTTTGATATTAATACATCATAACCATGGATCTCAGTTGATTTTAATGACTTGCCTGTTGGTCTTCAGTTTCAATTTCAGAAAATACAGTTCTTCATTCAGTTATTGTACTTCTATAGCTATTCTAGATGAAAAGGATTTTGTGCAAAGGAAATTTTAGTTGGTAAATATCAACCATTTTCTACAAGATTTACTCTCCTTTCCATAGGGAAATTATTTCCTGGAATTCGTTCTTCTTGCGATCGTCACCTCTTGGCTGCTGCTCACAACAGTATAGAAGTGGGAGCTGTGTTTGCAGTCTTAAAAGCAATTTTGATGCTTGGTAAGATTATGCAGAGTCATGTCTAATGTTTTTGTTCTAGTGTTCGGGTAAAAAACAGATCGTGCTAGTTCACTTCCTCGGGAATGCTTCTGGGAAAGGAAAACCCTGATGACAGGAGACAAATGTGGATGCTGTCTGTGCTTCTATGGCATGTGAGTAGCGTTTGCCCCACAGGTCAAGAGACAGAATTTTTCTCTGGTGAGTCAGCCCCAGCTGATGAGGCTTTAAGCAGATGTGACTTTTTCACATTTTGACCCCTACCCCTGCCACCAAGTCCCAGTACATCTCAAACTCAGGCGAGTCCCTCTCAAATATAGAGAGGAAATACGGTCTCAGATCATTTTTCCCACCTTTTTTTGTGTTCTACCACAAAATCTACGTCTGTCATTGCAGAAGCTGCAAAAGAATCACTGCTAAGCAACTCTCCACGAACAACGAGTGTGTTATTTTTCCAAACAAATAACTGCCTCAGAGCTTTGGTTTGGCTTAAGTTCAGTTAAAGCTCTTTTGACCTATGGTGATGTGTATTTTTGGAGCTAAGTAAACATTCAGTTAAACAAGAAAGGTCTTCCAGATGTGGACATACCCACAGAGGTACACCTCCAGCTAGAGTGCCATTATTATATTCTCTGTTCACCAATGTCTCAGAACTGTCTTAAAAACCCCATGATGCTTAATGATGTGACTATATTGGGAAAGATATTAGCTATCTGGGATGGACTGATGGATTTGAGAGTGAGTTTGAAATACGTTTATGGCCATTATCTATGTTTTCTTGCTATTCAGAGTGCTGAGATTTGCTGTTTTTCTTCATTAATGGTGTGTAGCGTGAACACTTGTTTCATCTCTATGCAGGGACATAGTTTGGATAGGGTCTGGTGCAGGGTGATACAAAGGAAAATTCAGACACACAGTTTATTTGTGCCTTCACTGCAGCACATCTCCTATACTCAAAATGTTATATTTGGACATGTCTCTTCTTGACACCCTGCATTAGTTATTTAAAAATTGTACATGATTTCCTGAGGAAGAGCATCAGGTAAATGACAGCTGTTGCAGTTCTATGCTGAGGAAGCTTTGTGAGTAGAAAGCTATGTTAGAAAAAATAATCTCTACCCACAATGAAAGATGGTGCTGCAGTCAACTGCTCTAGGGGGTATTAAATGTCTTCACAAGTTTTATCAAAGCATTTTGGGATGGCTTTAGCTTCATGTGTGGCTTGGTATCAATCTCTTCATCGTATTATTTGCCTGCCAGGTTCTTCCCTCTTGTTCTTCATGGGTACAGATTTCAGCTTGATATGGCTGCTCTCACAAGTTCCCAAGATGCTTGAGTGCAGGGACGGTGTGGATGGGCTGTTTGCTGCTGCCATCTGTTCACATGCGTTGGGCACAGACGTCCGTCGGCTTGTTTCCCATGCTCTTCGCAATGAGCTTGTCCAGGGCTTTGGGTTCTGCAGGGCTTGATGTGTCTGCTCTACCAGTCACTGAGTCAGCGGTATGGAGGTTTTTGGATTTGCCTGGATTTGGGGGAACAGAGGGATTATAACTGCTTTCACTTCTCAGGGTATGTTGTACTGTTTTGCTATTGGCCTGCTTAAAAATAATTTCTATTCTGTCTCACGAATGACAACACTGTTCATTCAGTCTCTCCCCTCTCTGTAAGGAGTTGATTCCTTGTGCTGCAATGGGCCGTGCAGAGGAGATCGGGGCAGGAGCATGCCTGCCATAGTGGAGAGCTGAGTGAGCCTGCTGGGCGGGCCGTGCAGAGCTGGCTGAGGGGTCGGGGATGAAACGGCCTGTCGGGTCACAGGCAGTGCTGCCACCCACCGGGAGGTACTGTCTGGGTACAGGCTGGTCTGTCACAGCGAGTCAGGGCTCTGGTTTTGATAGACTGTTAAATATGAGTTCAGCCTTGTTAAAAAAAGGATTGTATGCTGTTTATTTAGGAGTAACTCTAATGCAACACAAACCAGGATAGGGGCACAGGCGTTGGCTGGTTTTCTTAGCAGTAACTCTTCTAAACCCTCATTTTTTTTTCGTCCAGGGTAATGCAGTACCAGGGAACACAGAAACAGTGACAGGAGAACTGAGTGCGCAGGAGGACCCAGTGCACTGTGGTGTTTTGAGCACTCTGTGTAAATGTGTAGTAGTCTGGGGATGTGGCCACAGCTGCTGAAAGGCTGTCAGTATCCTTGGTGCAGTAATTTGAAATATTTTGGTGGTAGTTGTAGATTTTAGCAAAAAATCCTAGCGTATGTGTAAGCAGAAGCTCTGGGGTGAACGTGTGTGTGTGTTTGAGTGGCTGAAGCAAGCCGTTTAGCCTTGTCACGTCATGTTAGTTGTTGATCTTGATTGTCAACCCCTCTTGAACTGAGGGGTTTTCTAAGGGATGACTATCGTTTGTGGTGCATCAGTTAAGATACGTAGGAATTTCTGCTGACTTAAAACATTAGGCTATGTTAGCCCACTTCTCATGCAGGCTGTCGTCATGCATGCTCCTGGCTGGCCTCACAGGCTCTAGGGTATTGTTATGTGCAGCAGTTTGGGCTGTTTTCCCCGCTACTGCACGCTGTAGTTGCATCTTCTTCCTTGTTCAAGGTTTCAGGCCCGTAAACACATAAAACGTGAACTGCTACAGGTCTGATTTTTTTTTTGTGTCCAAAGTATTTTTTCCTTGCTCTTCCGGTCGCCCCCATTGGTTTCAGGTAGATGGTGGTCATAGAGCTGTGCCGGTGCCTTGCAGAGAGGAGGGGCTCACCAGTGTTTGCCAGGGTCCCTCAGCGTGCTGTGCCCTTTTCCATTCCCCGGAAGATCAATCTCTCTTGTCAAGAAGTTCATAGTAAGGTGGGCTAAGGGACCACTGCTCAAAACTTGTCTCTTGATGTATGGAGTGTTAATAAATCAAAGTAAGAGAGAAGACTTGGAAAAGGGACATCTGAGAAGAGTAAGTAGTAATGCAACTCTTCCTTATCTGTCAAAGCAATTCCATACTCTCACAGACCTTTTCCTGTCGAGCACGTAGTGGCTTTATTTGTGTTTGATTTGTATAAACCTTATCCTACTTTTGAAATATCCATTAAAAAGATAACATGCAAAGTGAAGCAAGTGGACAATACTTTGAACATGGTGATTCCCAGAGTCAGTTAGTGCTGCCCTTTTTGAATGCGACTGCCTCACTCCTGCTTTACTCCTCAGCTGGCCTGTGCTGCCGAAGACGTCCCTTGGTGGGTAAGCGGTTTAGGGGCATGGGGGCTTGGGTAAAAGTTCACCCTGTGCTTCTGTGCTTCTGCTGTACAGGTGATGCTGAAATTGGCAGCAACAATGTCAACTCCCTGAAGAGTGAAGACTTCCATATGAGAGGCTTATTAGATGAACTCAATGAGGATGAAATCTGGGGTTCCTCTCACACTTTGAAATCATGCGGAAAAGCTGTTTCCATAGAAACTGCTAGTTTAAGCGAGTATGCTAGATATGTGCTAAGAACAATTTGCCAGCAGGTAATCTCTAAAACTACTCTTCTGTCTTCATTTGGAGAAACAATGTTATTTTATTTGAAAAGTGTAACATATATTTTGGTGCAAAATGAATGTTGAAGTATGTCAATATTTGAGTTCTGTTTGCGTTTCCTGATTTGGACAATTTATACATGGAGTAGTATGTTATTGGGGGGAGGGAGATGGCTTTAGTTAGTTATTAGCATCTTCCTACACTGTGTCAGAATTGAGGTGTTTTTCCTACCTGAATCTCAAGCACTTTGAAGACAGTAGGACCACTGCATCAGCTGTCTACTCAAAGAGCTTTTGCAGTAGCATTTGTTTTGTTGCAAAGTTGCTTTCAAAATATAGAAGAAATGAATTTTGGAAAACCTTTTAACAGTCTTATATTTTCAGGTGGTACTGAATGACAGAAGACATTTCTAATCTCACATATTGTGTGAACCATAGTTCACTTCAAGTTTTGCGTATGGAAAAATCACTTTTCTGTTTAGCTTAGCAAAAGTTAATATTGCCTTGAAACTATCTTGTGAATCTGTTATCTGATTACTTACAGGAGTGGGTTGGAGAGCACTGTTTAAAAGAACCTGAGAGGCTGTGCACAGACAAAGATCTTATTTTGGATCCTGTTCTTTCAAACAAGCAAGCACAGAAACTTCTTCAACTTATCTGTTATCCTCATGGTATTAGAGAATGCACCGAGGGTGACAACCCTCAGAGGCAGCACATCAAACGCATACTTCAGGTAATGCAGTGGGGAAAATGTGGAAAAAACTGCCTGTGATGCACTGACTCAACCTGTCATTCAGCAGCACTACCAAGTGACATTGATTTGCAGTTCCTGGTGCAATCAAGCATTAGATTCTTCTTTCAAGATTGTATGTGCTCAGGATCCCCAGTCTCTGTGGTAAACGCTTTATAGTGTGACTTCTGGTGTCTCCTTACTTCTGACTCCTCAGTTATGGAGGAAACAAGCATGCAGCATGCTCATCATTGCTGTTCAACATTGTCAGTCATTAGGAAGCCACTGAAAAGGGAGCTGCTTTTAGGGCTGCTTAGGTGGAGATGCCTACTGTCTCAGTAGGGCTCTATGACAGTACTGTGGTGAAAGACACTCCTACTCCATGGAAAAGGCTCAAACGCCTTCACGGACAGTCCTAAACTGATCATTTCTTCAAATTCAGCTGCATTAGGGACACTTCGTTTTTTCAAAGAAAATCCATTTTGTAGTTTAATAGACGCGTGAAGAATCAAGTCGGCAATATCTGGACCAGGACAAATAGTGATCAATGTCCCGCAAAATAATTACTTCAACTGCTGCATTTACTTTAATCGTGTCTAGATGGCCTTGTGCTAAATACAAACATGTCCACTTGGATGGCAATGCCATGGATTAATGTAATTACTAATGAAAGAGCGAATTACATTTTCCGTATTCATGTGTACCTAAACTCAGATTTTGCAGAGAGCGAGATTTTTATTCGGAAAAGTTGTACAGTTAAAAGTATTGAGTAATGATGTTAGCTGCAAAGATGTGGAAGTTAACATACATTCTTTAATAGGTCTGATATTTTGGGATGTCATTAGACTATTAAAAAGAGTAGTGACTGTGATGATCTGCTTATAAGATGAGGCTTTTGCATGTAATGTATTCAATGATGAGATTTATTTTTTTTTCTTCAGACCTGTAAAGTGTTGACACATGTATTTATAATGTTAATTCTTACCTAGAACTTAGATCAGTGGACTCTCCGGCAGTCTTGGTTGGAGCTGCAACTAATGATCAAACAGTGCACGAAGGAGCCTGTGAGTATTTGTTTTCAAACTTTCTTATCTAAATATTTAATGCAAAAAAGTATGTTAAATTTTAACGTAGTCCATGAGCAAACATACCATGAATGTGCTAGTTTACTTATGTTTTACTGTAGGGTTCTGGGTCTGTGGCTGAAATGAACAGCTTGTTGGATAATATTGCAAAGGCGACAATAGAGGTGTTTCAGCAATCCGCTGATCTAAACAATAACTCTTCTAACTCTGGTATAGGCCTCTTCAATCCAAACTCTGTTGGAAATGCTGACACAAGTAATACAAGACAGAATGGTAAAAAGACATTCCTAAGGTATTTTTTGTAGCACCTTTTTAATTATTTTAGCCAACATGATGCTTAATTATGTGTAGATTGCCTAGACTTTTTTACACTTGGAACAGGAACGTACAGAAATGAGTTACCTGGAGGTTACTTCTATTTACTTTTGTTTAACAATAAATATAATCGCTATTCTTGAATTTTCTGAAAACCAGAAATTGTGACTGCTCAGTCCACAGTAGTTACTCCAGATGCACTGTGTCAACTGCTTTATTAAAGCAGTTCAGTCTTATAACAGCTAATACTGATTGCAAAACTACATGGATGTTTTGGCTGAAATAAGTTTGTTCTACTTCTAGTTCCTCTGAGCGGCGAGGAGTGTGGCTGGTGGCTCCCTTGATTGCAAAACTGCCTACCTCAGTTCAAGGTAGGGTCTTGAAAGCTGCGGGAGAGGAGCTGGAGAAAGGTCAGCATTTGGGGTCATCTTCTAAGAAGGAAAGAGATAGACAGAAACAAAAAAGGTATGACCTTGGGAAATCCCTGTACGCAGAGCTGAAAGGTTTTTTTGAAGGAGGAGTATACTGAGGACTGGATTTTGGCTTCACAAAACCTCATTGTTTCACTTTTGTGGAGCAAAAAGTTATCAACCCCAAACAGGGTTCAGGTTTCATTTAGTTTGAAGAAATATCATTGGTTTCAGAGGAAGAAGTGTGAAAGCTTTGTACCACATCTTCCAGTGGCTATTCTGCAGCTTGGTGATGGGAAATGTTAGAGATTTAAAAGAATAGTCAGAGGCCTTGTTGTCTCTTCCCTTCTATGACAGTAGGCCACTTTTCTTGCCATTAAGATCCCATAATTGTCATAAGATGTCACTTAATTCCTGTTGGGAATTAAGCTTAAGCTCATCTCTAACTTTCCAAATGCATGAGAATTTTAATGACTTAGTGGTTATTGATTTTCCTTTAGTAAAATATTCTTCCACAGTGCCTATAATTTCTTTGTACTTTCTTAGAGTTATGATAGAAATTACATTGAATACTATACACAGCAAGGTCTCTTAGCTTCAAATACCAATCATCTTTCTTTTTGTGAAGCTCTTCCAAAGTACGGTTGTTGAAAAAAACAAATAAATTCTTAAAGGCTTGTGGTATTTGATTGTTGTATATGGTCCCACCGTAAGTTTCTTGTTCTTACGCGTTACTAGTGTGCGTTGTCTTTTTGATCACCTTCAATGTTGTTCATGCACTATGCTTTCCCTGAGCGTGGGACCAATAATTGGGCTTTGCCACTTTGTAGTACTCTTGTAAACCTGTGTTTGCATATATTGATTTTGACTTATGGTTGTCATTAAATTCTGTGGAGCCTTTTAAATCTTCTGCTATTTTCCAGTCTCTTCCACCTAGCTTATTTTCCCTTTAAGGTTAGAAGATTTAATTTTTTTCTTTCCATCATAATTGCAGTATGCCCATTACTCTGTGTTATGCTGGACCCTCTTAGTTCATCTGGGCTGTTTCTTTAATAAGCTGCTTATGTGATATATCAACCTATAGAAGTTCTGTTTGCCATATTCAGTTTTTGAGTTAAGTACGCTCTGTATTACCTTTATGAATCCATCTCTTCCTTGTCCTTCTAATTCATTTGTAATACCTGCTTGATCTGTTGTTAGATAAAAAAGACATCTTGCTTTTCAGATCTCTTTGTTAGGTGTTTCTCAGCATTTCAGCACTCTTCCATTAGTCACTGGCTCTCTTGCTACTTGCATCAATAGAAGGGAATATGGAACCTCTCTCTGTCTTCCATTTCTTTTCCTACGTGAGAGGTCTAGTGTAGAAGATCTAAACCAAGCCTCTTTCAAAGCCGAAATAAAATGACTGTAGAAACTGTCAAGCCCTTCCTCCACAGTGGTTCCTATGCACAGAAGTAAAAGCATTACAAAGTTGTTCTAGTTGTAACAATAAATTACTTCCTTGTGTGAAGAGGTGTTCCTACCATGTTGTTCCTAAAATCTGAAAAATCACTGTTTAACATGACTTTTGAAAATGCAGACTTTCTATTTTGCTCCTTTTATGGGACCTTGGGATTTTGCCATTCCTTTATACTATTTGTCACCTGAATTGTTGAAGTCAAGTTAAATGCCAAATGAAAATAACTGTTGAAATGAATACTTGTAATAAATACACACATGTATGTGTGGATATGTGTTTATATTGTGTTTACGGATGCATGTAATTTTCAAGGAGCCTATATACCTAAAACTGCAAAAATCATTGCATGAGCTGTTACTCAAATCCCTTTGCTGACATTTTTAACTTCTACTTCACATGTACTTCCAAATTGATCTTTGTGTATTTATTTCAGTTTGTCTTAATTTTATGTTTATAATGGATACACATTGATCTAAAAAAAAAAAAAAAAAAAATCTGAAAGCCTTTGCATTGGTATGGCATGTCTCCTCAGCCAGCTAAAGCTGCATCTCAGTTTAATTACATTAAGCCCGTGTTAGAACTGTAGTGGAATTTAGGCAGCTGTCATTCTATTCAGTGCTTGTAGGGGAAGCTGATTTGGGATTCACTTCAGACCACTAACAGGGATTAGAAACTTTAGCTGCCTAATCTCCACTAAAATTATATCCTTGTTTAATCAAAGTAGTCTTAAAATAACATGTTCTGTTTCTGAGTCATGCCTTCAAGTGTCCATGCAATTCTTGGTCATTCAATGCCCTGAGCTAGGTGGGTTCTCAGTAATGACATGCATAGTATGTGCATTTTTACTGGCTGGTGCTCTGCTTTCTTATGTGCATGTTCTTTTAATTCATCTGGCAAAGCTTTAATTTACTAAAACAGAAACAGACATAGATACAGGCAATGCCACTTCCAGGAAGAAAAAAGTAGACAAAACAAGGAAGGGAGTGAGGATGGGAAGTATCAAAATAACTTTACTAATTGACTTCTGTGTTTGCCTCTCTTAAAGCATGTCTCTTTTGAGTCAGCAACCTTTCCTTTCATTGGTACTTACTTGCCTTAAGGGACAGGATGAGCAGCGGGAAGGGCTTCTAACATCACTGCAGAATCAAGTTAATCAGGTAAAACAAGTACATAACCATGAGCACCCTTTGTTAGATGTTTTATGTGTCATCAGTTTTATGTGTATACGATGGTGTAAAACCAGTAAAATTACAGTGCGATGGTATGCCAAAAGGCACAGTCCGAGGAAGGAAGAATGGGGAGGTGTTTGTTCCTTTTTGAGAGTGAATACATCTTTTTTTCTAAAATTGCTACAGAGAAGTAAAATGAACTTGAGTCTGATTTCAGTTCTTTCCAGGAAAAACAATATAAGATGTTTGTCCTGAGAGGAACAGTCTTCTCAATCTCTACCTTGATCATAAAAAGTTTTTAGAAGTTCGAAACTTTCTTCTTTAGGAAAATCCTTCATCTTCTCCAGTTGGTACAGATTAAGAGTTTTTCATATTTTAGAAAACAATATTGCTAATCCCAAACTGGCCCATTGCCTACAGCTCTTCCTTTGGATCACTTGTGCTTACTCACAACCTCTGCTGATTCTGCTCTAGACTTCCTGCTCCCATCTGGTTCATGCTCTAGCCTACAATAGCTCCTTAAGACTGTCTTTAAAATGAATGCATACAGTGCCCAGTGTAGTGGGTGCATGTTTCCTTTTTTCTGTCTTTAGTTTCTGTGAATTACTGTGACTGAAAATTCATACCTGTAGGGCCATTATTTTCTCATATTGCCTCTCAGCTCAGGTTCAGGCTATGACATAGGTCCACATCCTAGTTAAATTCATTCCTTTGATGTTTTTTCCCCCTGGTGTTACTGGCACTTGGGCTTTCCTTTTGCTGTATGGGTTCTCCCCTGAAATGCAGCTGGTCCACGTTCCCTAAGGTTCTGGTCATTTCTCATCCAGAGATCCCACCGGATCCTGTTGGGAAGCTGCATCCAGTGCAAGAGATCTATTTACTTACCCGTGGTGAACAGTTAAATAGAGTGTTTGAAACAATATTTTTAATAAATGCATAACGAAGCTGCTTATTTTCTTTTTGCTACAACAGGAAGATCTAGTCACACAATTGATAGCAGATTATCAGCTCTTTACAAATTAATTTTTTTCCCCCACTAGTTTGCTTAATCTGCTCTAAGCCTTAAACAGGCATGAGGATAAAAAGGTTAATAATATTTTACGATTCCTTATAGATAATGATCACAAATACTTAAACTTCAAAGGGAGAACATTCCTTTACAGGAAGAAAACAACCTTAATCAAATGCTTTTTCTTAGATCCTTAGTAACTGGAGGGAAGAACGGTACCAGGATGATGTTAAAGCTAGGCAAATGATGCATGAAGCCCTACAACTTCGTCTTAACTTGGTAAGAAAAATGTATGTGGTTATCCTGATGTCATAAAAAGATGTAGCAGCTACTCTGGAGTAGGTGGTAAGGAGCAAGAAGCACTGTGTCAGGGCACTGCAGGGGCCAGGGCTCCCTGAGAGCTGGCAGCTCCCAGCCCTGAGCATCAGGCACCTCCGCTGGGTTGGGGACGGGCTGAGGCCACGCCAGGACGTCAGCCCTCGGGGGGGCTGAGGATCAGGCCCAGTGAGGGGAGCCAGGGTCAGACACAGCCCTAGCATTGTCAGGCAGGGCCATGGGGACAGGCTGAGGCTCCTGACCTGGGGCTCCTGGGCCAAGGGTGGGGGTGGGGGTAGCGCTAGGTAGGGCTGGCCAGGGACAGCAAGGGCTGTTAGTGCCCCCTCTGCCCTGACACAAGGGCTTCATTGGTGTTTGTCTCTTCTCTTCCTGTCTCTCTTGTTTCAGCTGATGCCTCCTGGCCATAACGTTTGGACATTGTTCATAAAAAATTAATAGGAAGGACAGCCTATACCTTATTCATGCCTTATTTTTGTGCTGCTTTCTTCCTTTCAGTGTCCCTGGAACTTCAGAAATGTATCATCTTTTTGTGGACATTCAAAGCTGTTGTCCACTGATGGTTTATTCCCATGTTACAAGCAGTGATTTTATGGAATTAGGCAGTCAATATAGTTGAGACTCTCAGAGCTCTGGGGGAACGTAACATTTGGCTATTTAACTCAGTTGCTGCTACTTGGATACATGTATCAATAAACTTAGAAAGTTTCCCTTAAGTTCTCCAACATCCCACATCTCTTGAAACCTCTGTACCAGATGCCAGGGCCACCGTGACTCGTTTAGCACAGTGCAGTAGGTGTGTGGAGACTACATGTAAGGCCAAATGGGTGAGCACCAAGGTAGGAGTAACACTGCAGCGTTGTTGTTTTTCCATCTCTTTGGAAGATGTGGCTGTGCAACCAGAGGGATAACCACAGCCTTATACTGCCACTGGTTCAGGCCAAGGGGACTTGAGGCAGCTGTGACCAGCTTTGGGATTGCTGCGGCTGCACTTAAAGTAAAGCAGCTATCATCTGCCACTGAGTACCGTGGAGACATGCACTTTGTCATGGGTTGGGAGAACTCTTGATACGGGCAATATTTGGTTTATTATTAAAGCAGCAAGATTTTATCCTTTTGTAAACCATAAACCACTTACATAGTTCAAGGAGTAATCTTCTTAGATACAAACTCAGCAAAGTTTAGGAGCTAAAAGCAGGTACTGAGAATTGAAACAGTCTCTGTATTTATTGAGCAAGACACAACCCTGAAATCAGCTTTAAGCATGGGGAAGAATTTTGTAAAGTGAAACAACTACAAGCACAAACAGTGAAGGGATTTAGAGTGACTATAAACGTGACAAAATAGAGAGATTCATTTTTGGGAAGTTGTGAAGTGGGAAACATCAGAAAGATGATTTGATGCAGATATTGGGTGCAGGGATGCGCAAAACAGCGGAGCTGACAGTAGCATCATGGTAGAGTAGGAAGACCCTAGGCTGCAGGGCAGCCATAAGGAAAGAGCAGTGTCATTTTGACATAAGCTCTCTTAGGAATCCTGTTGTGTGGTAGGGAAGTGTTTTATCTTTTACAGGGTTGTCACTGTCTGAAGGCTTGAGCTGTGCTTTCATTAGCTAGAAGTGTTGTACCTTTGAAATTTGGGGTTTGGACTCTATTCTGACCAGTTTGGTAATCAGGCTTGCAACCTGAGCAGGTATCTTGTATTATTGCAATTTGGTCCTTTGAAGAATGTGTTTTGGTAAAATGGCTCCTTCTTAAAGCCAGGGCATATTTTACAGTATCATACTATACTGGTAGAAATAGTGAAAAATTGTTCATGGGGTAAAATACATCATTTAGCAGTTTTCACTTTCAGTCAATGCTATGTTGTTCTTCAGATTTTTTTCTCTTTGCACTGGACATGATTGTCTAATTTTTGGGTGTGGGAGCAAAGTGATAACTATAAAGTTTTAATTCAACACGTTTTCAATTCTGAGAATTTTTTCACTGACTTCAGTTTGTTGCATCAAACATGAAAGTGAAGATATGAAACTGAAGGAGCAGCGTAATAATATTTTGCTTTCCTGTAGTTCCTTCTTAGGAGAAGCTTTTTGCTGGGAGCATGGGGTGGGGAGGAAAAGCTATTTAAAGTCAGCAGTTCAAGATGGCATTCAGCACGCAAGAACTCGTGGGACTGGATAGCAGTTTTATTCTTCAGTAATACATATGATAAGGGAAGCGTGCATCTGTGAGATATATGCAGAGCCTTGCTATCTGCTGTATTATTTTGCAGGTAGGTGGCATGTTTGATACTGTGCAGAGGAGTACCCAGTGGACCACAGACTGGGCACTTCTGCTCCTCCAGATAATCACTTCAGGAACTGTTGATATGCAGACCAACAAGTATGTCTGTGCTATGTAAACAAGCTAATTCATGTCCTTAGTGCTTTTAAGTTTAGATTGCATGTATGTTATTGTTAAATTTTTCTTACTATTATCCTACTACTGCTTGAGTGCAACTTACATGCTCAGTGCTGGTCTTGCTTGGCGAGCACCTCTATTTTGGAAAGCACTGGAGCCACTATTTACACTCTTCCTTAACAAGCACGTACCTGAGCGCTTTCCTAAGTCAGAGCCTGTAATTCCTAATGGCTATCTGTTAGCAGTTTGTGCTGTCTGTAGCTCTGAGCTGGGGTTTATAAGATTTGTGTGTGTGCCTTGACAGTCCACCTGCATATATACACTGGGGGTTACGCATGCAAACTGAGCTGTATGTGTAAAATGTGTATGTGTATAAAGAAAGCCCTGAAAAACCTGGCTTGTCTAAAGAACTGCATCTGTAGCCTTTGTCGTGAATATCTGTCCCTGGATCTCTTGGCAATGGTCAGTTCCTCAGGGTAATACTTGTCTTTACTCTCAGCGAATTGTTCACGACCGTGCTCGATATGCTGGGTGTCCTCATCAATGGGACGCTTGCCTCAGACTTGTCAAATGCTTCCCAAGGAGGGCCTGAGGAAAACAAGAGGGCTTACATGAATTTAGTGAAAAAGTTAAAAGTAAGTGTTATGTCTTGTCATTTTCAGCATTTCTTTTGAATCGCATTCTGTGCTCATCTTTTAATCCTGTCATTTCTAGTGTCTGGGAAGGCCTCTTGGGGAAAGAGGAGAGACTGAAACAGCACTAGTGATAACAAGGAGAAAAAGAAGAAAATAAAAATACAGGAATGTGGGGGTGGGAAGACAGACTTCTAGTATTTTCTTTGTATTCAATTACATTTAGGGACCCTGCAAGACACTTAGTTGCTTTTATTCATGTTTGAGACACTAAATTTGTATTACATATTTTCTACGTTCTGTTTAAACAAGAGATGAAAAGATAACTTACATTCTTAAAAAAAGAAAACGAAAAAAACCCTTGCAAAGGCACTTGTTTAAATTTAGTAAAAGTACAAGGAAATGATTCATCCAGAAACTGGACATTTTCTAATAGTGAAAGCAGTACAATATTTATCTTCCCTTTTTCCCCCTTTCTGTTTGATTGATTGATGTATTTATTCTCTAGAAAGAGCTGGGAGACAAGCGGTCAGAAAGCATTGACAAGGTTCGCCAGCTACTCCCTTTGCCAAAGCAGACATGTGATATTATTACTTGTGAGCCAATGGGATCCTTGATCGACACCAAGGGGAACAAAATTGCAGGATTTGACTCCATTGATAAGAAACAGGCAAGAGTAAATGTTTGCTTTCATCTCAGTTTTTCCGTGATTTTTGAAGTGTAGAAAATACAAGCAAACAGATACAGCTTGTACAGTACATGCGTTTATATGCAGTATCATAAAAGCATTGTACTTCCTCTGTAATACAGCTTTCTAATGCACTCTCAGTCATTACTAAAGCTTCAGCCACAACAATGCAGTCTCTTTTAAACAGGTAGGCTTTCTATGAGCAATGATGCCAAAAGCGAAGAATGCTGGGCTTGTAGAATAATACCTTTAAAGTAGTTGCAAATGACAGACCATTTTTTGGTATCAAATGTATTTCTGTTCCAAATACTTCTGCACAGTTTTTGTTTGCATGATCCATGTGAAAATTCTCAGGCATAGTGTGAAACCTGGAGTGGGTTTAGAGAGAGGCACTCAGGGAGTTGTGAAACCCCAGCTGAACGGGTTTGAGCAGCCTAGTGTGACTTGGAGCATGCACCAGCATCACCACCCCTGCAGCAGCACTGACAGTGATTCCATCCTCCCCTCCCTGACAATTCACTGATACTTGCAGATAGTCTCAGAGCTTTAGATATACACGCATCTTTAATGGAAACAGTTTTATGCCACTCATACAAATTCAAGAGTTTGGGTAACCTTTCACTTTCTGATTTGTTTAAAATTCAGTCATCATGTTTGCTGCATATCCTTCCTTGTTAAATCCGCAGAGTGCATGGTCAATTTGTAACTGCTAATGTGATGAGTTTTGACATAAGCTTGCTCAGTTTTGCAATATAAGGTCTTGACTGGAGCCAACTCCACAAAAGTTGCCAAAAAGGAAATTACGTTTGACTTGGGGTTGAACAGCAGAAGCTCTTAGAAAAGTATTTGCTTTTCAAGCAGAATCCTACATTTGAGAGCTCATTTAACCTGGGAACCTTTTCACCTGTTACTTGCTGGGAGGAAGATGGAGGGTGTGATCCTGCTTACAAAAGACAGGGGAAAAAAGGAGAGGGGGAAGTGTATTAGTTGTTTTGGATTTTTTTTGGAGTATGAAGGGATGCATAACTTTTTAAAGTGAATTTATTTAAAAGAGAAGGATAGAGCTTAGGATAGAGCTTTTTATTCTGCAGACTAGGTAGGCATTTTTTTGTGATATACTGCTTAGGCTTATCTCCCCTTATTTGAATATGTAAACTTTTAGCAAGCGTATTCTCAGATTAGCAATTTTTAATAGATGTTTGACTTTTCCTCCAAAATACGATAGATGGAACTTGAGATTTTTAGCACAGCTGTAAGCAAATGGTACTATAAAAATATAATTGCTTTTATCTAGTGGCAGCCTTGGACAGAGGTTTAAAATCCCACCAGTATGCATTTGGTACATTTTGTGGAGGGGAAAAAATCCTTAATGGATTTTTCTGACTCAAATAATGATGTACAAAAGCAAGTAGTCTGCTCTAGTGTTCAATTTTCTTAAAATACTAACTTCATTTTTATTCTGAAACAGGGTCTTCAGGTTTCAACAAAACAAAAGGTGTCCCCTTGGGATTTATTTGAAGGTCACAAAAATCCTGCTCCTCTCTCCTGGGCATGGTTTGGTACAGTTCGTGTCGACAGGAAAGTGATAAAGTATGAGGAGCAGCAGCATCTCCTCCTGTACCACACGCACACCAAACCCAAGCCACGGAGTTACTACCTCGAGCCCTTGCCCCTTCCTCCAGAGGAGGAGGAGGAAGAGCCCACCACACCTGTCTCTCAGGAACCAGAAAGAAAGTCAGGAGAGCTCTCAGATCAGGGAAAACTTGCCACGGATGATGAGAAGAAGACAAAGGGCAGAAAGCGAAAGTCAAAGTCAAGCTCAAGGGCTGATGTAAGTAGATGGTGCCCCATACAAAACTTGAAATACCTCGCCGAAGCATCTGGTGTTGCATGGTGCTGTCTTAGCTACCTTCAGAAATTGTTCTGCACCTGGAGGACCGGGTCCTAATAAAGGGAGTGAATGGAGATGGTCAGAAGGAGGGTGGATTTCTATCAAACAGAGCTCAGTGTAGAGGAATGTACTGTCCTTAGGACCTTATGTGCTATGTAAAATATGCTAGACTGGATCTTACTCACTAAATATGATTTGGGTTCCATATATGCTCTCTTGTTTGGTGTAAAGTACAGCTGTTACTGTTTGTATCAATTTCTAAAACTCCTCCTGTTCGAATTATGTTGAGAGCAAACGTGCTGGTTCAAACCCAGGTCCCATTCAAATGGAAACCAATTTGAAAGAAGCTCTTTCACGTAGATAAACTGTTTTACTGTGCAGTTTGTTCTGGTTTCTGAGACACTTTCTCTTTTGGTTTTAATGGTTTTTGAGGTGTAGGTTCCTAAGCTGAAGAATGACATAGAGCACGGGTTTGAAAAACATGCCTGGCACCACCCAAATAATAATGTACGTTTCCAGTAGCAGCATTCTGTGCGATTACATCCTCTTCACACTGCTGCCAGTGTAGTTGTGCATGTTGTAGACATGATAGTATTCTGTTAGCATCCAGCTCTTTTGTCAATGTGTTGCCTTTTAAGTAGCTGTAATTTTAAGATCATTTTCTGGCCTTTTTGATGTTTCAGTTAAGTTCCTCCTGTTATTTATATACTGATACAGTAAGCTGTCCTTGTGCTATACCTAATTATAGCCTGCAGAAAATACTTGCTAATAAGGTAAAAATGGTTGGTGTGTCTATGAAGTTGTTAGTGTTAATTACCTGTGGGCAGCCTGAGACTTAATCTGTTTTTTACATCATTGCAAACGACAATGGGAACTGTCTCTGTCCTTTAATAATTTAGTAGGAAAATTGGCATTATTTATGAGTTAGTAAGGTATGAATGTCAGTAACATTCACTTTTACTGTGTATTTTAAGGAATATCCACAAAACAACTTATATAGAGTGCCTCCCACTTATTCACCAATTTCCTCTCAAATGATGCACCATCCTCAGTCTGCCTTGTGGGGTTACAACATCATGGGACAGCCGCAGCAGCCTGGCTTCTTTGTGCAGAACCAGCCCCTCCCACCAGGTATGTGTAAGCTTTGAATTCACAGACGTGGGGCTTTATTATTTGATGTATGATAAAAATTGACTTCTTATAACCACGTTTTGTTTCTAACTTTCTCCGAAGCAGGCTGTGTCTGCCGATGCCATTTATTTTATTCCTTAGTTAGCTGTTTTTTTTGAAGGGCTTTCTAATGCCATTTATTTTATTCCTTAGTTAGCTGGTTTTTTTGAAGGGCTTTATCAGTTGTAGGTCTGTCTCTATTAAGCTATTAAACTTTTTTGGTTGATAAGCAAAAATGACCTACTGTGGTGATAGTATAAGAAAGCTGGTAGAAGTTCAATGAGGAGTGAAATACGAGGGATGATTAAAAGGAACAAATGACCTTTGGGTTATTTCTTCTTTGATTCATACCAAGAACCATGGTGGCTAATTTAACATCTGCCAGATGGAATAAATAAATCCATGGGCTCACTTGTTTTTCAGGATTTGTGATATGTACTTAATTATTTGTAGGCTTGTTTTGTTTCTTCCAGTTAATGCGTATACAATTTAACATAGGTATTTTACTTGCTCTAGGGTGCAGCAGTTTATGATGTTTTGAGAAATACTATTCTGTCCTTCTCAGATATTATGCAGGAGAAGTTTAGAAGTTTGGTTCCAGTTATAAACATAAAATATTTTTTCTGAAGCTCTAAATACAACTAGATCTGTATTTAAGTGCGTAAAAGTCTTCAGAAAATACCAGACAGTGGCTACAAAGTTAAGGAAATGCTGAGTTTAAAAAAATATGTGTAAGATTACTTTCATAAGTCTAACTTATAGATAGATACATGATTTTTATCAAATAGCATAGGGTGCATAAATTATTGCCATCTCATGATAAAATTGTCTTGACATCATAAGCCGTTCATATCATGCTTTTGATTTGATATGCAACTTTGGTTTTTCAGTAGTAGTCAAACGTTTTATGTGATGTAGAACGTGCAACAGCCCATAGCCTGTTTACTTTTTGTTCTCATTTGCAAGTGGTAGTCTTCAAAGTTATGTTGCCCATTTAATTTTTCAGACCAGTAGGTTTAATCCAGTTCACTGCCTTTACAGAGATAAGTTTATCATCGTTACTGTAGAGCTAACGAAATAGGAGCTGATGAATTAGCAGTGATCTGTACCAACAACGTTCTTACGAAAGGCAGAGAACGCATTTGTGTTTTGGGTGGTTTTTAGGTGGTTCCAGGCTGGATCCGACAGGCTCCTTTGTTCCAACTAATACGAAGCAAGCCCTGTCGAACATGCTGCAGCGGCGCTCTGGCACCATGATGCAGCCCCCCTCTATCCATGCAATCACACCTCAGCAGCAATTGCTCCAGATGAAACTCCTGCAGCAAGAGCAGCAGCAGCAGCGACTCCTCAGGCAGCAAGCACAGTCACGGTCTCTCCAACAGGTTTGTCCAAACCCCCACGTCTGAAGAGCAACACAGTGGTTTTGCCTTCCGTTGGGGCTGCTTGCCCTGCATAGGCTTATCGAGTGGAGAGCCAGCTGATATTTACAGTTGCAATAACTCCCCAAATATTGCTTAACCAGAGCCATCTGCTTTTAAACTTCATTTGCCCTTTGGTCTTTTAGCCCCTTCTATTTTTCCTGTGTTTCATAAAATGAGGTTTTGCTTCTGCTACTTGATGATATCTTGTTCCCTGTTGTGTCACAGAGGCTTTCATAGTGGAATTGCATGGTGATATGTACCACCAAGCTACAAGTAAGCAGCAGAGGCACAGCAATGCTCTTCACAATTAAAAATCCAGGAAGTCCAGCAGGAGCCATTTCCATACACATGTGCACACAGACGCCCATGTTCTCTAGAAATAGCTGGTATTTCTTCTCCTAACACTTTTGCAGAGTACAGCTGCTGTGTGCCAAACCGCACATGGCTATTGTGCAACACCCTTTGGAGCCTGAGCTAGTTTCAGAATATGGCTACAGACAGACTGCTTTTGAATTGATGGTGTAAGAACAGAAAATTGGGTTTTTGATCCCAGATAACCAGCAATATGTGTACAGTAGTTGGTGGTAAAACCAGTAACTTCCTACCTTTATTTTAAAGTCCTTCTGTACCCAGTCTTACCCTCGCTGCAGTATATATTACATTGCCTTTATGCTATCTTGCCTTCAAACTCTGTCATGTGCCCTCTTTGCTCAAAATAGTCAAAATTTTCAGCAAGTATCCTCATAATTTCTCCCACGCTGTCTCTATTTTGTTAGAGCTCCCTCATTGTCCTTCTCATCTCTCTTTCAGTCTCTCTGCTACGATGGATGCAAAGCCCTCTGTAGTGCTTAAATTGCTGATGGGCTACAATAGTTTTATATGGGGCTGTTCATAATTGTGAAACTAGGGTTTCCCTGTATGTGTGCTGTCTTCTACCTTAAAAAAAAAAAAAAAAAAAACCCCCAAAAACCTTG